CTTTGCTTATTACTCCTGTATCCTGCCACCTTGCTATGATGGTGTATTAGCTCCAGGAGCCAATGCAACTGTGTTGGCTTTTATGAGTCTTTTACCTTTCTACACAAACTTTAGAATTACTTTGTTGATATCCACAAAGCAACTTGTTGGAATTTTGATTGGGATAGTTTGAATCTATAGATTAAGTTAGGAAGAATGACATCTTAACAATATTTAGTCTTCATATTCATGAAACTTGGATATCTCTCCACGTTAGATATCTGGATTTCTTTCATCAAAGTTTTATAGCTTCCCTACATAGATTCTGTACACATTTTCTTAGATTTATACCTAAACATTTCATTTAGATATAAACATTTCATTTATTTGCGAATGTAAATGGTGTTATATTTTTAATTTGAATCCTACTTACTCATTGGTGCCATATAAGGCAGCAATTAACTTTGCTTTTTATTACCCTGCATCCTGCCACCTTGCCATGATGGTGTATTAGCTCCAGGAGTTTTTTCTTGATGCCTTGAAATGTTCTACATAGACAACTGCCTAGACAATCATTTCGTCTGCAACCAAAGACAGTTTTATTTCTTCCCTCCCAATTTGTACGCCTTTTCTTTTCTCATTGCATTGACTAGGACTTCCAGTATGATATTGAATAGGAGTGGTGACAGGGGACATTCTTACCTTTTACCCAAAATTAATGGGACAGCATCTACTTTCTCATCACTAAGTATGAAGTTAGCTGTAGGCTTTAAAAAATTATTTTTAATATTTGTGGGTACATAGTAGGTGTATACATTTATGGGTGACATGGTTTGACTCTGTGTCCCCATCCAAATCTCATGTTGAATTGTAATCTCCAGTGTTGAGAAAGGGACCTGGTGGGAGGTGATTGGATCATGGGGGAAGATTTTCCCCTTGCTCTTCTTATGATAGTGAGTGACTTCTCATGATATCCGATTGTTTGAAGTGTGTAGCACTTCCCCTTCACTCTCTCTCTTTTTCCTGCCACCCTGTGAAGACATGCTTGCTTCCCATTCACTCTTCCATCACGATTGTAAGTTTTCTGAGGCCTCTCCAGTCATGGCTTCTACATAGCCTATGGAACTGTGAGTTAATTAAACCTCTTTTTAAAATAAATTACCCAATTTCAGGTAGTTCTTTACAGCAGTGTGATAACAGACTAATACAGAAAATTGGTACCAGAGATGTGGGGCATTGCTGTAAAGATACCTGAAAACATGGGAGCAATTTTCACTTAACAAAATGACCTCTACTTCCTATGTCAATTTTTTCTGTAGTGCAGGTTAAGTCTGATGTTTCTTTGCTGATTTTCTGTCTGGAAGATCTATTCAATGTTGAAAGTAAGGGAACTGTTATTGTGTTGGGGCCTATCTCTTTCTTTAGCTCTAATAATATTTTCTTTATGTTAATGTTAAGTGTATATGTATTTATAATACACTAATGTTAAGTGTATATGTATTTATAATTTTTATATCTTCTTGCTGAACTGACCCCTTTATTATTATATAGTGTGAACTTCTTTGTCTTTTCTGATAGTTTGTATCTTGAAATCTATTTTGTCTGATATAAGCATAGCCACTCCTGCTCTTTTTTGGTTTCCACTGGCATGGAATATCTTTGTCCATTTCTTTATTTTCAGTCTATGTGTGTCTTTATAGATTAAATGTGTTTATTGTAGGTCTTGTTTTTTAATCCATTGAGTCACTCTATATCTTTTTATTAGACAGTTTTGTCCATTTGCATTGCATGTTATTATTGATAAGTAAGAACTTAGTCCTGCCATTTTGTTGTTTCCTGGTTGTTTTGTGGAGTTGTGGGCTTTTTGCAGATGTTCTTTATCAAGTTGAGAAAGTGTTCCTCTATTCCTAGTTTTCTGAGAGGACTTTTTTCTTTATCTTGAATGGGTGTCAGATTTTGTCATTTTTTCTGCATTTGAAGATATGACAATATGATTTCTGCTTTTCTATGTGATAGATTACATTAATTGATTTTTTTTTTTTTTTTTTTTTTTGAGGGAGAGTCTTACTCTTTCACCCATGCTGGAGTGCAGTGGCCGGATCTCAGCTCACTGCAAGCTCCGCCTCCCAGGTTGTGGCATTCTCCTGCCTCAGCCTCCCGAATAGCTGGGACTACAGGCGCCCGCCACCTCGCCTGGCTAGTTTTCATATTATTTTAGTAGAGACGGGGTTTCCCGTGTTAGCCAGAGATGGTCTTGCTGGGACTACAGGCGCCCGCCACCTCGCCTGGCTAGTTTTTTGTATTATTTTAGTAGAGACGGGGTTTCACCGTGTTAGCCAGGATGGTCTTGATCTCCTGACCTCGTGATCCACCCGTCTCGGCCTCCCAAAGTGCTGGGATTACAGGCTTGAGCCACAGCGCCCGGCCTATAATATTTCTTTATTATCTTTTTAATGTTCATGGGATCAGCAGTGACTACCTTTCTTTTGTTTATAGTATGAGCAATTTGTATCTCTTTCTTTTTCACTTAGCCAGAATAGAGGTTTACTGATTTTATTGATCTTTTCAGAGAATCAGCTTTTGGTTTCATTTATTTTTTCTAATGATTTCTTACTTTCCATTTTATTGAATTATTCTCTAATTTTAAAATTTATTTTCTTATATCTACTTTTGATTTAATTTGCCCTTCTTTTTTTCTAATTTCCTAAGTTGGAAGATTGGATGATTGATTTAAGATATTACTTCTTTTCTTTTTTTTTTTGTTTTTGAGCACAGGCTAGAGTGCAATGGTACCATTTCGGCTCACTGCAACTTCTACCTCCTAGGTTCAAGCGATTCTCCTGCCTCAGCCTCCCAAGTAGCTGGGATTATGGACGTGCACTACTATGCCCAGCTGATTTTTATATTTTTAGTAGAGACAGGGTTTCACCATGTTGGCCAGACTGGTCTCGAACTCCTGAGCTCAGGTGATCTACCCATCTCAGCCTCCTAAAGTGCTGCGATTACAAGCTTGAGCCACTGCGCCCGGCCCTTCCTTTTTTTCTAGCAAATAAATTTAATGTTACATATTTTCCTCTAAGCGCTGTTTTCACTGCATTCCACACATTTGGTAAGTTGTATTTTCATTTTCATTAAGTTAAAAATACTTTTTAATTTTTCTTGAGACTTTTTAAATTCTTTTGTAAAATTGAAGTACATTGCTTCATCTCCAAATATTTGGGGATTTTTTTCAGCTTCTGGTAGATTTTTGTTTTTGACTTCTAGTTTAATTCCACTGTGCTCTGAGAACATATTTTGTATAATTTCTATCCTTTTAAATTTGTTAAGATATGCATTATGGCCTCGAATATGGCCTATGTGATGAATGTTCCATGTGATCTTGAGAAAAACATGTATTCTGCTTTTGTTGGATGAAGTACTCTATAGATGTCAGTTAGATCCAGTGATAAATGTTGCTGTTCCTTACTATATCCTGACTGATTTTATGCCCACTAGATCTATCAATTACTGATAGACGAGTGTTAAGTCTCCAACTATTAATGTAGTAAAGAATTTTGTATAGCTTATATTTTCCTTGCTGTTCTATCAGTTTTTGCTTCCTGTGTTTTGATACTCTGTTGTTAGGTACATGCATCTTAAGTATTATGTAAACCAAAAATAAAATTCGAAGGCCCTCCACTTTCCTGCAACCATCTAAATGGGCCCCCTCCTTGGCCAGGGCACTCTAAAGTTTACCTCCTACTTGAAATGAAAGACAGGAACCCTCAGGACCAGAACCTACGGTGTACCCTTAGCAGTATGGGAAGTATGTACTCAAAGTTCCTGTAAGTGTGTGAGAGGATGAAGAGCATAAACCACTGTAGAATACTTTCCCCTTTGGCAGACAAAAGACTTGACTATCATTGTAGTTTAGGAAAAAAATGTCTCAGCATTTGCCATTTCCTGTCTCTCCAGGGAGCTGAACTTAGGATAGTGGCCTTTGTTCTGTCCAGGAAGGGCTGATTTAATGCATGTGGTGGCCAGTGTCTGCGATGGATGGATCTTCTTCATTGTTGTACCCTCTCACTTCTGATTCCTCTTTCTCTTCTTCCTCCACTCTTTCATAAGCATTTCTCCGACTGATCTCAGGATGTCTGGTTATTAGTGTGTTTGGGGGAGTGAGCTAGAAGAAGAGTCAGTAATTGGACAAGCATGCTGCAACCCTCGACTCAGGGTGATGGACTGGAGGTACTGGGTCCACGCAGGTGGCTGCTGCAGCCAACATGCCAGAGTCTCCAACGTGCCCTAGCCACACAGCCACTTCTGCCGGCCTTCATCAGTGAAAACCCAACACAAACAAAGCAGTTCCAGGGTGGCAGCTCAGTGACATTCATTTCCACACTTTCATTGAAACCAGTGGACGAAACAGGTTTATACATTCCTCAGCCTCTTCCTCTAGTATTTTAAAAAATATTCAGCCTCTTCCTGCAGGAGGACAGCCCCAGGGCTGGGCTGTGAGAGTCTGTTGTTGGGGCGCCGTTATTTCCTCTTGAGCACTGAGGTTACAGTAGATGACATGCTCCCAGCCAGTCTTCCTTGGATCAGGCCTTGAGTGTGGGCACCGGACTGGGGAGAGGACTCCAGATCTAATGTGGAGCGAATGGGGAAGAGCTGAGTTTCTCCCAGGGGACCCTATGGTTCAGGCTCCTCCATCTTATGGTCTGTTCTCCTGCTGCAGACCTTCACCAAGCACTGGCTCTGCACCAGGAGTGTGTGGGGCCCTGGCATGCAGCAGCCTCAGGCCAGACCCAGCCCTGTTCTGGAGCTTATGGGCAGTCTAGGTTTGGGTTTTCCATGGCAGACCCTGAGACAGGGATTTGAGTGAAGTAAGTAATGTGGGAGGAAGCCAGGGAGTTCTAGTAGGGGAGGGGGCAGGGACACAGAGAAGCTGTGACAACAAGTGGCATTTCCCAAGGCTCAATCACACCAGGACCTCGGGTGACTATGCAAGGTGATTTCTCCTTGGGATTTTCCTACCACAGGATAATTGCACCCCTGGCCAGGTATCACCCATCAACCCCTGTCATCTGTCAAGAGTGGCTGCTGGAGGCATCACCCTCTGATTCCAGGACTTCAGCCCTAACTGGTGCACTCCTCGGTTTGGGGCATCCTCTGGTTGAGTGGCAGGCGCTGCAGGCAGGAGCCGTGGTGTGTGTGTGAACTGTCTACAGAGGCGGCAGGTGACCCAGCACTGTCAGCTGCAGCATCTGGCAAGGCAGACAGGTAAGGCAGTAAACCAGCAGGTGAGTGAATGGTTGCAATTGTGGCGAGTGCCTTGGAGGGAGCTGACTGGGAGTTGAGCACAGAAAGAGGTACAAAGACCTCCAAATAGGGTCATGGCTCGTGCCTGCCTTCTTGTAGTAGGTGGGCACCCAGCAAGCAGAGGCCGGAACCCTCAGTCACGTGGCCCTGGGAGAGTTGTTCTGACCTTTGCCTAGAGCCTCGGTGCCAGCTGTGAGCTAGGCTGGTGATTGCGTTCGCTTCTGATATGAGCTGGTTAAAAGTGCATCATCAGTGGCCGGATAGGTTTCTCCATTGCCAAGAGATGACCTAGTGCTTGTTTAACGCTGGAAATGAAGCTCAGCGGCAGCTCTCGGGCTGTCCTTCAGCGGCCCCTCGCATGCCCAGGTGTGGTCTTCTGGTTGGCGTGGCTTGTGTCACCTCCCTCGTATCCTCTTGAGGTTCACACAGTGCACCTGCTTTTGTCTGCCACGGGGGAGAGGAGGAGAGGCAGATCCTTCTGTGCCCTCTGCTCTTGATCTTTTCTGCTGTGGGTTTGGAGGGTGGTCTTAACTCAGGGGCTGGTTGCTGTGTCCTCTCCTGAGCTTAACTTGCCCCCGGGTTCCTTTGTCTTACAGATAGAACTTAACAAGAAAAAGCTAAGGAAGAGAAGAGGAGAGAGAGGAGAGGAGAGAGACAGCGAAGAGGCTGGAAAAGGAAGAAGAGAAACATGTTTTTTGGAATCAAAGTGTTACCTGGATTCTTACCCAGGATTTTCCTATTGTCTTAGGACCTAAAGGGAAAAGACCAGCCATGGGGTATGTGAGCCTCTGGGATATCTGCCTCAAGCCCATAATGCCATGCATCTACAGCAGTTGGAACAGTTTAAGAGTCAGACCTCTCTAGATCCCAAGCGCTGCAACATGAATAACAAAACCAAGGTTAAGCCACAGACCAGGCCCCATGGAGATTTCACTGCTTCCAGCCTGACCATCAGGATTTGGGTCCTGACCACTCCCCTGGCTGTTGGGCTGGTCCCAGCTCTGGGCCTTGGTTTTCTCACCCACAGAATGGGGACAATACAGGACCTCCCTCATCAGAGCTGTCACAAGTGTTAAGTGAACGGGTTCATGTGAAGCCCTGCAGTGCCTGGCACAGATCAAGGGCCCCACCGATAGTGGCTGTGAGTTTTCCCACGAATGTATTTTTTTGATATGTAACATTTTAAAATAAAATTTTCTCTTTTCTTTCTTTCCTTCTCCTTTTGGAACCTCAATTTCCTGATTCCCTAAGCTCATGTCTGGTGCTGACTATTATCCTAGTGCTGAACTCAAGCTTTCCTCATAGCTCCTCAGAGCATTTGAGAATAACTGTGTGTTTCTGCACCCAGAACATATTTGTGAAACCAGTCAGGATACATGGTTCATCAAGCATTAATAGAAGATGTGGTTCTCAAACTTGAGTGGGGCTCAGGGTCCCCTGGGGGACTTGTGAACACACAGATCTTGGATCTCCCCAAGGTCTCTGATGTCGGAGGTCTGGGTGGGGTCCTAGAGTTTGTTTTTCTGGCCAGTGCCCAGATGGTCAGAACCACTTTTGGGAACGACACTTTGAGAACCACTGGCACATAGTAAGGAGGCCTCTTCCAGAGGCCACCGGTGAAACCACTGTCCTGAAAGGTAAAGAACATTTGTCCAGGGGATGTGTTAATGAAAAGAGCTTAAGAATCAGACAAGAAGACCAAAGGAGCATGAAGTGCTTCAAGAGTGCAGCAGTGATTTTGTTCCAGCTGGGGCAGGAAAACCTGGGGAGGCCCTGCGGTGAGGAACCATTTGGACTGGGCGTTGATGGATGGCTGAGCACTGCTTGGTGCTGGCCCTGCAAGTGCGATGTGGTGGGTCCTGTGTCCCACTTTGAATCTGTGTTTCATCCTTGAATATGGTGGCTTGTGGCTGCTTAGACCAGTCATCAAGGCCAGTGCACACTAATGCGCTGGGTACAATGCCCAGGACCTATGCCTCTAATGCCCTTGAATATATTTTAAAATCAGAAGGAAAAATGAATACAATAAAAAAGAATATACAATAATGCATCTAGACTGGATTATATTCACCTTTATACCAACATAGGCACAAAATATACCTTTAAATATTTTTATAGAAGAAGGAGCCCATGAAAGCAAAAGTGCCATTTCCCCAAAAGTCACACTATGGCCTCGCTGATTGAACGTGATGGAAGTAATGCTCTGACTTCTGTGAAAGGGCCAGGAAAGGCCGTGCAGCGTCTGCCTGGTTCTTATGGGATGCTCCCAACTCCCCCCGAGAGCCCACGAGGCCTATCAGCCTGGGCCATGTGAGCGAACTGCCTTGAACACCCAGCCCAGCCCCGTTGAGCCCTCAGATGACTGCAGTCTCAGTCAGCAACCACGGGAGGGCTCTAAGTGATAACGGCCTGCTGAGCTCTCCCCAGATCTTTCAACCACAAAACTGTGACCAAAATGAAATCATTTATTTTAAGTAGCTAAGTTTTGGGATAATGTGTTACCTTAAAATAGTAACCAGAACATCCAGCCAAGAAAGGGAACTCGGGGGTTGATGCTCTCATGGGGCTGATGAGAGGATGGACAACCCTGATCCCAGCACCCTGGTTAGTTTTATAGGATATACCGGATTGCTGACTCTCGAGAGCCCACTTGTTCACTGAGGTGCTGGGCACGTGATACCATCGCTTCTTCAGTCACTAGCAGGAAGGAGTTAGGAGTCAGCATTGCCCATGTGGCAAGGGGAAGCCCCTGAGGAATTTGCAGTAGGGAGCAATAGGCTGTGCTCAGGTAAGGATCACTGTGGCTGTGGAATAAAGATGGCAGTGGTGGGGTACAGGGAGGGGCATGAAGGAAGTAGGTGGAGATTCCAGAGGGCAGAGCCCTGGTCATACATCCTAGACAGGGTTATTGGATGCAAATCACAGAAATGTCATCCAGCCAATTTACACAGAAAATAGCCTCACTGAATGGCATTATTTCTCCCCTGTACACTTCCCTACCCAGACTGATGGGCAGCTGCAGAGGAAGGACAGGGATGTGCAGCCCAGGAACCTGGGAACAAGACCAAATTACCACAGGGCCCAGCAGTGAGCATGCCATAGCATGCAGGGTAGCCACAGGACACCCACCATCGCTGCTGCAGAAAACCCTCCCTCTCGCTTTGTCCCTGGGTCAAGGTCACAGAACTGCCAAGGAGTGGGACAAGGAGGACTTTACCTGCTGTTTTTTGTTTTTTGTTTTTGTTTTTTAGAAGCCACCTCTTTAGGGTACTCTGAAACTCATTTGTATACTGAATAGCCCTAGATTAAAAAATAAATTCCACTCCAGCAAGTGAGCAATTGGTCTGAACCATCCTGTGGCAATGGGTAGTGTCATGGTCTGTTCTGTGCTGCGGTAACAGAATACCACAGACTGCGTAATTCATAAACAATAGACTTTTGTTTGGCTCATGGTTTGGAGACTGGAAAGAAGTTCAAGGTCAAAGGACCACATCAGGTGAGGGCCTTCTTGCTGCCACATCACATGGTGGAAAGTGTCACATGGTGAGAGAGGAAGAGAGAGCAGAAGAGGGGGCGGGAAGGGGCCAAACTCATGTGCCCACTCCCGTGGTCACTAACCCACGCTCACGATAACTAACTCATTCCCACAATAACTAACCCACTCCCGCAACAATGGTATCGATCTACTCCTCAGGGCAGAGCCCTCCTGACCTAATCACCCACTAAAGCCTCTGCCTCTCAACACTGCTGCATTGGAGATTAAGGTGCAACAAATGAACTTCAGGGCACACAGTCAAATCAGAGCAGGCAAAGGAGAGAAGACGCCACTTTGAGAGGATCTGAAGAGGGATGCAGGCCGGCAAGTCACCCAGAGTCAGAGTTAGGCTGTGATCTCTCACTGCTTATATTCACATCCTATCTTTGCCACTGGATAGTGAGTGACCTCGGGCAATTTATGCAATTATCCGATCACTTGAAATTTTCACTTCCTTATCTGAAGGATGTGGACAATAATATTATCTACCCATAGAGCTGTGGTCAGGATGAAATGTGGCCATTGTGACAAGGTGTTTATAATAATAGCTGCCCCCAGTAAGAAGCCAAGAGAGGTCGGCCATCGCCATCACTTTCAGTCATGGGAGGAGAGCCTGTGGGGAGAGTGAGGGGCTGAGGATGATGCTCGATTCTGTGTGGGCCCCGGGGTGGGGGAAGAGGAGACCTGGGGAGGTGCAGGCTGCAGGGGAGGCTGCTGTGTTCAGCTCTGAGTGTGCTGCACTTCTGTGCCCCGGGAGACTGGGTCAGACATGCAGGAGTACGTTGAGACAGCAGCCTGGGCTTTGGGAGTGGGGTCCAGGTTGGAGAAGATTCCGGAGGTCTGGGCAGGGAGATGGTGATTGCCCTGTGGAGTTCCACCTGAGGAAAAAGAAGGGCTTTGTAGACTTTGAGCTGAGCATTCCAGGAACACCCAGGTAAAAGCAAGATGGAGACAGGAAGTGTCTGAGCTCAAGTTCCTAGAAGCAGAGCCAGGGACAGGGTCTGGGTGCCTGAGAGATATTGAGACAAGGTCTCAGGAATGAGGGGCCAAGATGGGGTGGGAACAAGCTGAGCAAGGAGCTGACTTGGTCTGATCCATGAAGGGAGAGGGGCTTGGAGCAGAAATGCCTCTGCAGAGCTGTCCTTTGAAACAAGAGGAGAGGCCTCCTATCATCCCTCTGTCTGTTGATGACACAGTGTGTGTGTTTGCCAGGGGGTGGGGGGGCTCTGGATTAAGGGGCCTTTGTCAGCCAGGGCAATTCTTCCTATTCGAGGGTCCCACACTCACAGCAGCTGGAAGAAGGTGCGACAGTTCTGGAAAGGGCGTCTCGGTAGGCACAACAGCATTTACATAGGAGGCAATAAGGAATGCAATCATCCGCAAGTAACTAAAGCTCCTCCTGCTCGGATCTCTGGGAGGCGGAGTAGAAGGCGCCTCTAAGAGTCACTTTGTGCAGGGGTGTGTGTGTCGGGGGTGGGGAGTGGTGCTTACACCGCAATTCCCGTCAGTGTTTGGTCCCGTATATCTCCACGTGTTAATTATTGGCACCTTTGGCTACTGGGCAGCCTGAGCTCTGAAAGTCCCCAGGTAAAGACGTGGCGGGCACTGGAGGCTGGGCAGGTGTGCAGGTGGAGGGGTCAGGCCTGAGGTGGGCAGTGCCAAACAGCGTCTGCTACAACTTTTAACTGAAAACACAAAAACATCCGAGACGGAGCAGCCAGAGGTGGGAGGAAAATCAGAAGAACGGAGCTGTGGGGCGTCATTTTCACAGACGCACAGGGCGATCCATGTCACCTTCTCCGGCATCCCACCCCATTGTGTCTGAGCACTTTATCCCGCCAGCCTGGCCAGCCGCGGCTCTGAGAAGCCCAAAAGGGGTGTCTGCTGAGCCACCCACAGCCGGTCCAACCTCAGCCTGGCGCTGCCAAGGCACATTCGCGGTCGGCGACAGAGGGGCTGGAGATCTTCCCTAGAAAATAATGAGCGGAGAAACCTTTATTGATTAGTTAAATCCCGGGTAATCCTGGCTGATGAAGACAGATTCGGAACCCTCAACGGATTTAGGGACCCAAAACGACTCCTGGGGGCGGCCTGGGGCGGGAACGCTAGCTGGGGCTGCGCCTATGGCCGTAGATTTGCAGGTGGTATCCAGGAGGGGGAAGCTGGAGGGAGCCATTTTTCTGGCCGCCAGGGCGCGGAGGCGTCCCCTAAACACGGCACGTAGATTTGGCACGTAGATTTGGCAACTGCGAGGGCACCCCGGGGACACGAGTATTGTGGGTGGATCGTGGGCTAGCTCTTTGTCTCTTGCAGACGTCTCCTAAACGGCAAGAAGTGCTTCTCTGGTCTTGGCTGACGCTGAGCGAAGTATAACTTGACGCTCGGCTCTGAGCGGATCCCCACCACTTAGGGCGCGCAAGTGGATCCCAGAGCCCCGGCAGCAGCGGGGACACAGATTAGAGCAGCCTCGGGTGGGGGTCATTTCTCACCGTAGGAGGCAATGAAAGTGTCCTCCCGCGCTGCGCTCCTGCCATCCCCACGCTGCGAAACACAAGGTGACCCAGGACCCAACTCCCCACCGCTGGGGTCCTGCAGGCCTCTCCCTGACATTGGGGTCCCGGGATGCGTTAGGAACGCCTCAGTCCAGGAATTGCAAGACCCCTTAGAAGTTCGTTCCTTCTCCATCTCTGAGTCCCCTTAGAGCCTCAACACGGGCTCCTTAATCGAGTATCTTGCTCTGTGTCGCCCTCCCCACGTCTCTGTGTCCGATGTGACTGGGTTAATAAGTCCCAGTTGCTCTCACCTGTAAAATGAGTTTACGACGATTCTTCCCGAGGATTTGGAAACTGGGGTGTTCTTGGCACTGCGCCGCGGTCACCAAGTGTCCAAGGCTGGGCTCCCACCGCCTGGCCTGTTGGTGTCTTTGAATCACTGGCTGTCTACTCTAGGTCTGTCACTCCGGTGATCGCCTACCTTCCAGGGAGACCGAGGGGAGGTAGACCCCAAGACCTGTCCCAGGTGAGGCCACTTGGTCGGCACCCGGGGCTGCAGGCGCGGCGCCTTCGTCAGCCCGCCCCTCTTAGTCTTTCCACTCGCGGACGACCCCGGTCGGGCCACCTTACAACCGACTACTCTGCCTGCCTGACCGGTCTCGGGCTACAAACTGTGTGGAAGCGTAGGTATCTCCCTTAACTGCGACCCCAAATTCGGATTTACAAACGACTACGCAGTCCCGTGTGCCCAACGCCTTCCCTAAACCCAGAGATAAATCTGGGGGAAAATTCCTCGCGGAGCCGAAAAACAACGCCGGCGTCTAAAGCGTTCTCCCCCGAGCTGGAGCGATTCAAAAGACAATTATCTCAAAGGAAAGTTATTGTTTTGGTAATCCCGGGAACAGCTTGCAAGGGGAGATTTGGGTCTTTAGTAATGGAAAGTTAATGCGCAGACTCCTGTAATTATCCTTATCGGAAGCCCCTTGTTTAATCTGCATGTTTAGCTGAGGCTCCACTCGAATGCGCAGAGAATGGGAGACCCACTTTGCAGGGCCCGGGCTCGGGCTCCGGTCCATGCGAGCGCGCAGGCAGCCGCGCCGGGTTCCCGCAGAGCTCAGGCGTTTGCTCCTCCCTGGCTGCGGGACCTCCAACTGTAGGCCCCTCAGAGAGTGGGACTGAGGAGATCTGTTTCCGGGGTTCTGGCATTGGGAAGGGGGGACTCAGGGCTCCCAACGATGAGGGCTGGTGGGTTCAAAGCGCTAACCAGCGGTGACTTACCCACGTGATTTGGGGTCAACTTTAGCGAATATGAAAGTTTCACTGATTATTCAAAGAATCAGGCTTTCTTTGAATAATCGTGAAATCGGACAATAAATTGTAAGCCCCGATGAAAAGGTGTGCTTTCCAGTAGACAGACCCTATTTTATTCCAATTTACCTCCCTCCACTCCTCCCCAATTTAGAGTTGCTGGATAAAATACTGATACATACTCCTACAAACAAACAAACAAACAAAAAACCCTCCTTGTTTATCTGAAATTCACATTTCATTGAGTCTACCGTATTTTGTTGGTTAAACCTAGTACCCTGCCCGTCTCAGCCCCGGGCAGTCCACTCCTGTCTGTGCTTCTCTCCCTTTCCCCAGCTGGTGAGAGTCTGCAACCCCCTACAGTTCAGCCGGTGGAGAGTTGGGGATGGACTTGGTGGTGGATTTGGTTGGAGGTAGAATGACCATGGATTAAATACACGGTTTTCATTCCTTTCCCCTTGGGGATTTTCAGAGAAGGCCTTCTTGCAGGAAGGTCTTCCTGGCACCGGCGGCGGAGGTGGAGGGCTGGGCTGGCTGGGCACATATAGGTGGTAGCCACCAGGGTGTGGTTGGCAGTGGGGTCCCTAGGTCTTAATAGGCAGTTGGGTCACATCAAAGAAGCTTCAGGGCAACCGGGAGTGGGCCTCCACCCAGAGTCTGGAAGGAAGGAGAAGACCACGCCAGGATGTAGAACTTGCGACTTTTCGAGGGACAGGCAGAGAGCGGAGTCATCGTCCATTCCCTTCTTTCCTCCCCTCCATCCTAGAATGGGGTGGGGTGGGGTGGGCTGGAGAGAAGAGAGGAGAAGGAGGTGACCGAGGGGACTGCAGCTGGGAGGGCGGTAACCAAGGGGAGGGGAACTGGTGGCGTACCCATCTCGTTGGTTCCGGAACGGCGACGCGCCGGCGCCCAGCTGATTGGAGCCCTTCAGGCCTCCCGCGCCCGACCGACAGCCCAATCCTATAAAGCTTCCTCTAAGCTGGGCCCTCCGCAAAACGGATCCAGAGAGGCTCGTGCCTTGCTTGCTAAGGAACCATGACCGGCCGGGACGAGCTGTCCGACGGGCGCACTAGCAGCAGGGCGCTGGGGCCTGGCGGTTCCCCCAGGGGCTCGCGCCCCCGGGGCTTCGCCATCACGGACCTGCTGGGCTTGGAGGCCGAGCTGCCTGTGCCCGCCGGCCCGGGACAGGGATCCAGCTGCGAGGGTCCGGCGGCAGCGCCGTGCCTAGGCCCGGGGCTTGACCGCTCCAGCCTCGCGCGTGGGGCCCTTCCGCTGGGACTCGGCCTCCTCTGCGGCTTCGGCACGCAGCCGCCGACGGCCGCTCGAACGCCCTGCCTGCTCCTAGCGGACGTGCCGTTCCTGCCGCCCAGGGGCCCCGAGCCCGCTGCCCCGCAGGCCCCCAGCAGTCAGCCGCCTGCGCTCCGCCGCCAGAAGCGCAGCGAGAGCGTCTCGACGTCCGGTAATCAGGCCCGCGCTTTACGCTCCTACCCCGGTCCCCCAGGCTCTGAACCGCGCAGGGGTCACAGACCATCGCCCCACCGCGCCCCTGGCCCCAGCGTCCCAGATTTAAGCGGGGAGCCCAGAGCGAGGCCCCGTCGCTGGAGGGGCATTCGCGGAACTGCGCCGCTTGCCCCTTGCTGCATCCCAAATCCCTGCCTCTCATCCGGGGTGCTGCTCTGTTAGCGATGTGGGACCGCCACCACCTGGTTCCACCACCTGGAACCTTTTGATGAGACCCTGGGGTCTTGGCACCCCAACAACCATCTGCAGAGGGCCTTTTTTCCCCCAGCGCCAGGCGCCAGTCTCGGCCTCTGGCAGCGGTGTGAGTCGGGAAGGCCCGGACCTTTGTTGTTCACCAGCAGCACCGAACAAGGTACCAGGTGGAAACGCGGGCGGAAATGATCAAATGATTGAAGGTCCTTGAAGAGCACGGGGCCTCGAGCCCTGGAACTGTCCGCCCATCGGGGTGCTGAAAAGAGAGTCCCGGGTATCTTGCTCCTCTGCCGGCGCGGCGTCCACGCAGTCCCCCGTGCAGGAGAAACAAGCAACCTCGAGGATTCATTGTAGTTACGCCTAGAGATGTGTTCCTGGCCTACCATTTCCCCAAAGAAATCCTGGCGGGTCGCGGGGAAAGAGAAGCAAGGAAATTCTATAAAGGTCAAGGGCTAAGAAAGCGAGTGGTTTTTGGGTGTGGGAGAGAAAAGAAAGAATTATACAAGAAAGGGTGGACTAGCGAAGGTACGTGGTAGAACCTAGAGCTGAGTATCCAGGCAGCCAAGGCAAAAAGAATACATTGGGTCTCTGATACTAAAAGGAAGCATGTCAGATCAACAGGCAGGCACATTTTCGCTCCACTCTAAAAGGACTTTATTTCATGAGCCTCTATATAAGATAAAATGAAACTCCCTATTAGTGTCACTAAAAATGCAAAAACTGTCTTCGTGGGATGGGTTCCTTCTTACAAAACCAAAGGTAACTAAATCCTACTCTGGTGGCATTTCTGAAAGTCTGGAGCAGAGCTGTCCAAGAGAAATGCAATGTAATTACATGTTTGATGGAAATTTCTCACAGTCACATTAAAAGTGAAATGAATCTAAATACTATATTTTAACCCAACAATGATCACAAATATTATCATTTTACACATAATCGATACAAAAATATTTTACTTTTTAGGAGCACTAAGTCTTCTAACTCCACTGAGTGAGTTACGTATTGCTGCACTTCCTTCACTCTCTCTCTTTTCTCCTTCTGCCAATTCTGTGAAGACATGCTTGCTTCCCATTCACTCTTCCATCACGATTGTAAGTTTTCTGAGGCCTCTCCAGTCATGGCTTCTACATAGCCTATGGAACTGTGAGTTAATTAAACCTCTTTTTAAAATAAATTACCCAATTTCAGGTAGTTCTTTACAGCAGTGTGATAACAGACTAATACAGAAAATTGGTACCAGAGATGTGGGGCATTGCTGTAAAGATACCTGAAAACATGGGAGCAATTTTCACTTAACAAAATGACCTCTACTTCCTATGTCAATTTTTTCTGTAGTGCAGGTTAAGTCTGATGTTTCTTTGCTGATTTTCTGTCTGGAAGATCTATTCAATGTTGAAAGTAAGGGAACTGTTATTGTGTTAGCCTATCTCTTTCTTTAGCTCTTAATAATATTTTTCTTTATGTTAATGTTAAGTGTATATGTATTTATAATACACTAATGTTAAGTGTATATGTATTTATAATTTTTATATCTTCTTGCTGAACTGACCCCTTTATTATTATATAGTGTGAACTTCTTTGTCTTTTCTGATAGTTTGTATCTTGAAATCTATTTTGTCTGATATAAGCATAGCCACTCCTGCTCTTTTTTGGTTTCCACTGGCATGGAATATCTTTGTCCATTTCTTTATTTTCAGTCTATGTGTGTCTTTATAGATTAAATGTGTTTATTGTAGGTCTTGCTTTTAACCATTGAGTCACTCTATATCTTTTTATTAGACAGTTTTGTTCATTTGTATTGCATGCATATTGATAAGTAAGAACTTAGTCCTGCCATTTTGTTGTTTCCTGTTGTTTTGTGAGTTGTGGGTTTTTTTGCAGATGTTCTTTATCAAGTTGAGAAAGTGTTCCTCTATTCCTAGTTTTCTGAGAGGACTTTTTTCTTTATCTTGAATGGGTGTCAGATTTTGTCATTTTTTCTGCATTTGAAGATATGACAATATGATTTCTGCTTTTCTATGTGATAGATTACATTAATTGGATTTTTTTTTTTTTTTTTTTTTTTTTGAGAGGAGTCTTACTCTTTCACCCATGCTGGAGTGCAGTGGCTGGATTCAGCTCACTGCAAGCTCCATTCTCTCAGGTTTACGCCATTCTCCTGCCTCAGCCTCCGGAGTAGCTGGGACTACAGGCGCCCGCCACCTCGCCTGGCTAGTTTTTTGTATTATTTAGTAGAGACGGGGTTTCACCGTGTTAGCCAGGATGGTCTTGACTCTGACCCCGTGATTCACCTGCCTCAGCCTCCCAAAGTGCTGGGATTACAGGCTTGAGCCACAGCTACCCGCCCATAATATTTCTTTTTTATTATCTTTTTTTAATGTTCATGGATCAGCAGTGACTACCTTTCTTTGTTTATAGTATGAGTACTTGTATCTCTTCTTTTTCACTTAGCCAGAATAGAGGTTTACTGATTTTATTGATCTTTTCAGAGAATCAGCTTTTGGTTTCATTTATTTTTTCTAATGATTTCTTACTTTCCATTTTATTGAATTATTCTCTAATTTTAAAATTTATTTTCTTATATCTACTTTTGATTTAATTTGCCCTTCTTTTTTTCTAATTTCCTAAGTTGGAAGATTGGATGATTGATTTAAGATATTACTTCTTTTCTTTTTTTTTTTGTTTTTGAGCACAGGCTAGAGTGCACGGTACCTACTTCCCGGCTCACTGCAACTTCTACCTCCCAGGTTCAAGCGATTCTCCTGCCTCAGCCTCCCAAGTAGCTGGGATTATGGACGGCACTACCATGCCCAGCTGATTTTTATATTTTTAGTAGAGACAGGGTTTCACCATGTTGGCCAGACTGGTCTCGAACTCCTGAGCTCAGGTGATCTACCCATCTCAGCCTCCCCAGTGCTGCGATTACAAGCTTGAGCCACTGCGCCCGGCCCTTCCTTTTTCTAGCAAATAAATTTAATGTTACATATTTTCCTGCTGCTGTTTTCACTGGGTATCTACACATTTGGTAAGTTGTATTTTACTTTCATTGTTAAAAATACTTTTAATTTTTCTGAGACTTTTAAATTCTTTTGTAAAATTGAAGTACATTGCTTCATCTCCAAATATTTGGGGATTTTTTTCAGCTTCTGCATTTTTGTTTTTGACTTCTAGTTTAATTCCACTGTGCTCTGAGAACATATTTTGTATAATTTCTATCCTTTAAATTTGTTAAGATATGCATTATGGCCTCAGAATATGGCCTATGTGATGAATGTTCCATGTGATCTTGGAGAAAAACATGTATTCTGCTTTGTTGGATGAAGTACTCTATAGATGCTGCCAGATCCAGTGATAAATGTTGCTGTTCTCTTACTATATCCTGACTGATTTTATGCTCACTAGATCTATCAATTACTGATAGATTTGAGTGTTAAGTCTCCAACTATTAATGTAGTAAAGAATTTTGTATAGCTTATATTTTCCTTGCTGTTCTATCAGTTTTTGCTTCCTGTGTTTTGATACTCTGTTGTTAGGTACATGCATCTTAAGTATTATAAACCAAAAATAAAATTCAAGGCCCTCCACTTTCTGCAACCATCTAAATGGGCTCCCCTCTTGGCCAGGGCACTCTAAAGTTTACCTCCTACTTGAAATGAAAGACAGGAACTAGACCAGGAACCTAATGTGTACCCTTAGCAGTATGGGAAGTATGTACTCAAAGTTCCTGTAAGTGTGTGAGAGGATGAAGAGCATAAACCACTGTAGAATACTTTCCCCTTTGGCAGACAAAAGACTTGACTATCATTGTAGTTTAGGAAAAAAATGTCTCAGCATTTGCCATTTCCTGTCTCTCCAGGGAGCTGAACTTAGGATAGTGGCCTTTGTTCTGTCCAGGAAGGGCTGATTTAATGCATGTGGTGGCCAGTGTCTGCGATGGATGGATCTTCTTCATTGTTGTACCCTCTCACTTCTGATTCTCTTTCTCTCTTCCTCCACTCTTTCATAAGCATTTCTCCGACTGATCTCAGGATGTCTGGTTATTAGTGTGTTTGGGGGAGGAGCTAGAAGAAGAGCTGCACTGGACAAGCATGCTGCAACCTCGACTCAGGGCAGTGATGGACTGGAGGTACTGGGTCCACGCAGGTGGCTGCTGCAGCCAACATGCCAGAGTCTCCAACGTGCCCTAGCCACACAGCCACTTCTGCCGGCCTTCATCAGTGAAACCCAACACAAACAAAGGCAGTTCCAGGGTGGCAGCTCAGTGATATTCATTTCATTAATTTCATTGAAACCAGTGGATTTGAAACAGGTTTATACATTCCTCAGCCTCTTCCTCTAGTATTTTGAAAAATATTCAGCCTCTTCTCCTTGCAGGAGGACAGCCTGTAGGCCAGCTGTGAGGAGTCTGCTGTTGGGGCGCCAAGTATTTCCTCTTGAGCACTGAGGTTACAGTAGATGACATGCTCCCAGCCAGTCTTCCTTGGATCAGGCCTTGAGTGTGGGCACTGGATCGGGGAGAGGACTCCAGATCTAATGTGGAGCGAATGGGGAAGAGCTGAGTTTCTCCTAGGGACCCTATGGTTCAGGCTCCTCCATCTTATGGTCTGTTCTCTGCTGCAGACCTTTCACCAAGCACTGGCTCTGCACCAGAGTGTGTGGGCCCTGGCATGCAGCAGCCTCAGGCCAGACCTGGCCCTGTTCTGGAGCTTATGGGCAGTCTAGGTTTGGGTTTTAGATGGCAGACCCTGAGACAGGGATTTGATAGAAGTGGTGAATGTGGGAGAAGCATAGGGAGTTCTAGTAGGGGAGGGGGCAGGGACACAGGAGAAGCTGTGACAACAGGCATTTCCCAAGGCTCAATCACACCAGGACTCGGGGTGACTATGCAAGGTGATTTCTCCTTGGGATTTTCCTACCACAGGATAATTGCACCCCTGGCCAGGTATCACCCATCAACCCCTGTCATCTGTCAAGAGTGGCTGCTGGAGGCATCACCTCTGATTCCAGGACTTCAGCCCCAACTGGCACTCTTGGGGCATCCTCTGGTTGAGTGGGCAGGCGCGAGGCAGGAGCCGTGGTGTGTGTGTGAACTGTCTACAGAGGCGGCAGGTGACCCAGCACTGTCAGCTGCAGCATCTGGCAAGGCAGACAGGTAAGGCAGTAAACCAGCAGGTGAGTGAATGGTTGCAATTGTGGCGAGTGCCTTGGAGGGAGCTGACTGGGAGTTGAGCACAGAAAGAGGTACAAAGACCTCCAAATAGGGCTGCGGCTCGTGCCTGCCTCTTGTAGTAGGTGGGCACCCAGCAAGCAGAGGCCGAACCCTCAAGTCACGTGGCCCTGGGAGAGTTGTTCTGACCTTGCCTAGAGCCTCGGTGCCAGCTGTGAGCTAGGCTTGGTGATTGCGTCGGGGCTTGATATGAGCTGGTTAAAAGTGCATCATCAGTGGCCGGATAGGTTTCTCCATTGCCAAGAGATGACCTAGTGCTTATTAACGCTGGAAATGAAGCCTGTGCGGCAGCTCGGGCTGTCCTCGCGGCCCCTCGCATGCCCAGGTGTGGTCTTCTGGTTGGCGTGGTTTGTGTCACCTCCTCGAGATCCTCTTGAGGTCTACACAGTGCACCTGCTTTTGTCTGCCATGGGAGAGGAGGAGAGGCAGATCCTTCTGTGCCCTCTGCTCTTGATCTTTTCTGCTGTGGGGTTTGGAGGGTGGTCTTAACTCGTGGGGCTGGTTGTTGTGTCCTCTCCTGAGCTTAACTTGCCCCCGGGTTCCTTTGTCTTACAGATAGAACTTAACAAGAAAAAGCTAAGGAAGAGAAGAGGAGAGAGAGGAGAGGAGAGAGACAGCGAAGAGGCTGGAAAATAAAGAAGAGAAACATGTTTTTGGAATCAGCAGTACCTGATTCTTACCTCCCCAGGATTTTCCTATTGTCTTAGGACCTAAAGGGAAAGACCAGCCATGGGGCATGTGAGCTCTGGGATATCTGCCTCAAGCCCATAATGCCATGCATCTACAGCAGTTGAACAGTTTAAGAGTCAGACCTTCTAGATCCCAAGCGCTGCAACATGAATAAATAAACCAAGGTTAAGCCACAGACCAGGCCCCATGGAGATTTCACTGCTTCCAGCCTGACCATCAGGATTTGGGTCCTGACCACTCCCCTGGCTGTTGGGCTGGTCCCAGCTCTGGGCCTTGGTTTTCTCACCCACAGAATGGGACAATACAGACCTCCTCATCAGAGCTGTCACAAAGTGTTAAGTGAATGGTTCATGAAGCCTCACAGTGCCTGGCACAGATCAAGGCCCCACCGATAGTGGCTGTGAGTTTTCCTAATGAATGTATTTTTTGATATGTAAATACTTAAAATAAAATTTTCTCTTTCTTCTTTCTTCTCCTTTTGGAACCTCAATTTCCTGATTCCCTAAGCTCATGTCTGGTGCTGACCACATCCTAGTGCTGAACTCAAGCTTTCTTCTCATAGCTCCTCAGAGCATTTGAGAATAACTGCTTTGCACCCAGAACATATTTGTGAAACCAGTCAGGATACATGGTTCATCAAGCATTAATAGAAGATGTGGTTCTCAAATCCTGAGGGGCTCAGGGTCCCCTGGGACTTGTGAACACACAGATCTTGATCTCCCAAGGTCTCTGATGTCGGAGGTCTGGGTGGGGTCCTAGAGTTTGTTTTTCTGGCCAGTGCCCAGATGGTCAGAACCACTTTTGGGAACGACACTTTGAGAACCACTCACATAGTAAGGAGGTTCTTCCAGAGGCCACCGGTGAAACCACTGTCCTGAAAGGTAAAGAACATTTGTCCAGGGGATGTGTTAATGAAAAGAGCTTAAGAATCAGATGGGAAGAAGACCAAAGGAGTACATGAAGTTTCAAGAGTGCAGCAGTGATTTTGTTCCAGCTGGGGCAGGAAAACCTGGGGAGGCTCTGCAGGAGAAACCATTTGACTGGGCGTTGATGGATGGCTGAGCACTGCTTGGTGCTGGCCCCGTAAGTGCGATGTGGTGGGTCCTGTGTCCCACTTTGAATCTGTGTTTCATCCTTGAATATGGTGGCCAGGCTGCTTAGACCAGTCATCAAGGCCAGTGCACACTAATGCGCTTGGGTACAATGCCCAGGACTCCATGCTCTAATGCCCTTGAATATATTTTAAAATCAGAAGGAAAAATGAATACAATAAAAAAGAATATACAATAATGCATCTAGACTGGATTATATTCACTTTTATACTCAACATAGGCACAAAATATACCTTTAAATATTTTTATAGAAGAAGGAGCCCATGAAAGCAAAAGTGCCATTTCCCCAAAAGTCACACTATGGCCTCTGCTGATTGAACGATGGAAGTAATGCTCTGACTTCTGTGAGTGGGCCAGGAAAGGCCGTGCACATCTGCTCGGTTCTTATGGGATGCTCCCCAACTCCCCTGGGAGAGCCCACGAGGGCCTACTTCTCAGCCTGGGCCATGTGAGCGAACCACCTGGAACACCTGCAGCCCAGCCTCCCCGTTGAGCTCCTCAGATGACTGCAGCTCTAGCCAGCAACCACGGGAGGGCTCTAAGTGATAACGGCCTGCTGAGCTCTCCCCAGATCTTTCAGCTACAAACCGTGACCAAAATGAAATCATTTATTTTAAGTAGCTAAGTTTTGGGATAATGTGTTACCTTAAAATAGGCACCAGAACATCCAGCCAAGAAGGGAACTCGGGTTGATGCTCCTCATGGGGCTGATGAGAGGATGGACAACCCTGATCCCAGCACCCTGGTTAGTTTTATAGGATATACCGGATTGCTGACTCTCGAGAGCCCACTTGTTCACTGAGGTGCTGGGCACGTGATACCATCATCTCTTCAGTCACTAGCAGGAAGGAGTTAGGAGTCAGCATGCCTATGGCAAGGGGAAGCCCCTGAGGAATTTGCAGTAGGGAGCAATAGGCTGTGCTCAGGTAAGGATCACTGTGGCTGTGGAATAAAGATGGCAGTGGTGGGGTACAGGGAGGGGCATGAAGGAAGTAGGTGGAGATTCCAGAGGGCAGAGTTCTGGTCATACATCCTAGACAGGGTTATTGGATGCAAATCACAGAAATGTCATCCAGCCACTTACACAGAAAATAGCCTCACTGAATGGCATTATTTCTCCCCTGTACACTTCCCTACCCAGACTGATGGCAGCTGCAGAGGAAGGGGATAGGATGTGCAGCCCAGAACCTGGGAACAAGACCAAATTACCACAGGGTCTAGCAGTGAGCATGCCATAGCATGCAGGGTAGCCACAGGACACCCACCATCGCTGCAGAAAACCTCCTCTCGCTTTGTCCCTGGCCAAGGTCACAGAAACCGCAAGGAGTGGGACAAGGAGGACTTACCTGCTGTTTTTGTTTTTTGTTTTGTTCTTTAGAAGCCACCTCTTAGGGTACTCTGGAAACTCATTGTATACTGAATAGCCCTAGATTAAAAAATAAATTCCACTCCAGCAAGTGAGCAATTGGTCTGAACCATCCTGTGGCAATGGGTAGTGTCATGGTCTGTTCTGTGCTGCGGTAACAGAATACCACAGACTGCGTAATCTATAAACAATAGACTTTTTGTTTGGCTCATGGTTTGAGACTGGAAAGTTCAAGGTCAAAGGACCACATCAGGTGAGGGCCTTCTTGCTGCCACATCACATGGTGGAAAGTGTCACATGGTGAGAGAGGAAGAGAGAGCAGAAGAGGGGGCGGGAAGGGGCCAAACTCATGTGCCCACTCCCGTGGTCACTAACCCACGCTCACGATAACTAACTCATTCCCACAATAACTAACCCACTCCCGCAACAATGTATCGATCCACCTCAGGCAGAGCCCTCCTGACCTAATCACCCACTCGCCAGCCTCTGCCTCTCAACACTGCTGCATTGGAGATTAAGGTGCAACAAATGAACTTCAGGGCACACAGTCAACCGGCAGGCAAAGGAGACGCCACTTGAGAGGATCTGAAGAGGGATGCAGGCCGGCAAGTCACCCAGAGTCAGAGTTAGGCTGTGATCTCTCACTGCTTATATTCACATCCTATCTTTGCTTACTGGATAGTGAGTGACCTCGGGCAATTTATGCAATTATCCGATCACTTGAAATTTTCACTTCCTTATCTGAAGGATGTGACAATATTATCTACCCATAGAGCTGTGGTCAGATGGAATGTGGCCATTGTGACAAGGTGTTTATACAATAGCTGCCCCCAGTAAGAAGCCAAGAGAGGTCGGCCACCGCCATCACTTCAGTCATGGGAGGAGAGCCTGTGGGGAGAGTGGAGGCTGAGGATGATGCCTGATTCTGTGTGGGCCCTGGGGTGGGGGGAAGAGGAGACCTGGGAGGCAGGCTGTGAGGCTGTTCAGCTCTGAGTGTGCTGCACTTCTGTGCCTCTGGGAGACTGGGTCAGACATGCAGGAGTACGTTGAGACAGCAGCCTGGGCTTTGGGAGTGGGGTCCAGGTTGAGAAGATTCCGAGGCTGGGCAGGAGATGGTGATTGCCCTGTGGAGTTCCCACCTGAGGAAAAAAAGAAGGGCTTTTGTAGACTTTGAGCTGAGTATTCCAGGAACACCAGGTAAAAGCAAGATGGAGACAGGTATGTCTGAGCCTGTTCAGAAGCAGAGCCAGGACAGGGGCCTGGGTGCTCTGAGGATATTGAGACAAGGTCTCAGGAATGAGGGGCCAGATGGGTGTAGTAAGCTGAGCAAGGAGCCGACTTGGTCTGATCCATGAAGGGAGAGGGGCTTGGAGCAGAAATGCCTCTGCAGAGCTGTCCTTTGAAACAAGAGGAGAGGCCTCCTATCATCATCCTCTGTCTGTTGATGACACAGTGTGTGTGCTCTGGGTTGTGTGGGGCTCTGGATTAAGGGGCCTTTGTCAGCCAGGCAATTTTTCCTATTCGAGGGTCCCACACTACAGCAGCTGGAAGAAGGTGCGACAGTTCTGAAAAAGGGCGTCTCGGTAGGCACAACAGCATTTACATAGGAGGCAATAAGGAATGCAATCATCCGCAAGTAACTAAAGCTCCTCCTGCTCGGATCTCTGGGAGGCGGAGAAGGCGCCTAAGAGTCACTTTGTGCAGGGGTGTGTGTGTCCGGGGATGGGGAGTGGTGCTACACCGCAATTCCCGCCAGTGTTTGGTCCCGTATATCTCCACGCAGCACTATTGGCAATTTTGCTACTGGGGCAGCCTGAGCTCTGAAAGTCCCTGCAAAGACGTGGCGGGCACTGAGGCTGGGCAGGTGTGCAGGTGAGGTCAGGGCCTGAGGTAAGGTGTGCCAAAACAGCGTCTGCTACAATCCTCTTAACTGAAAACACAAACATCCGAGACGGAGAGCCAGAGGTGGGAGGAAAATCAGAAGAACGGGAGCTGTAAGTATCATTTTCACAGACGCACAGGGCGATCTATGTCAGCCTTCTCCGGCATCCTACCCCATTGTGTCTGAGCACTTTATCCCTGCCAGCTTGGCCAGCTGCAGCTCTGAGAAGCCCAAAGGTGTTCGCTGGCCACCCACAGCCGGGTTCAACCTCTCAGCCTGGCGCTGCCAAGGCACATTCGCGGTCGGCGACAGAGGGGCTGGAGATCTTCCCTAGAAAATAATGAGCGGAGAAACCTTTATTGATTAGTTAAATCCCGGGTAATCCTGGCTGATGAAGACAGGATTCGAACCTCAACGGATTTAGGACCCAAAACGACTCTTGGGGGCGGCTCAAAGGGAACGCTTAGCTGGCCAAGGCCATGGCCGTAGATTTGCAGGTGGTATCCAGGAGGGAAGCTGGGAGGGAGCCATTTTGGCCGCCAGGATGCCGGAGGCGTCCCCAAACAC